GTGATAGAGAAAACTCTTTTAACAAATATATAAATATGTAACTTCAACTTCAACTTAAACATTTATGTTTAGAAAGGATTCTGCAGTGTACACACCTTATGGCAAAAATGTAGACACATGTTAATTCAGTTATTACAGTGTTTTCATTTCTCTACGATAGTTTGGGGTTCACCAAATAGTTATTAGATTTGCTTAGATTGATTGAGCTTGAAGCAGCTTTGGTGACAAATCTCCTTAACAATTAAATGTAATGACAATACAAACACTTAGAACCATTGTGCCACATGTTTCCATATTTACCAAATGAAAAGAAAAAAAACCAAAAGCAATAACGAAGTAAAAGGATGGCAAAAACTGAAACAATAACTATTGCTCTACAATACCCAGGCCTGAACATGTGTGTATTTGGTTTAAAAAGTGGTGAAGTAGTCCTGCTCATGACTGAGTGGAATGTAAGGGGAGAAATAAAACCTACCATTGTCTTGGTTTTCCTCTTTGGGTCTCAGCTGTCTGCCTCTCAATCTGCTGACACATAGTTACTGTCAACCGGTGTTGTCCATATTCCTCTTATTGTTTTGCAATCAAAAAGAATTCACAGCTTTTTTGTCAGAGGGCAAAATTTAAACCAAAAAACGTGTTTTTTGTTAAGGATATTAAAGTGAAAATACTATTTTATCCAATATCTCTGTGATTTAAATATGACCTTATCAGTTAATGTCATTCAAAATAAGTCAAAGCAATACTGTGTATTAGCAAAAGAACACCAGCTCAGGTCACTTTCTTGTACTTTAAAGGTGCATAAAATTAGAATAAGTACAGATTTATCATATATATATATAGTTTGTTTTCTGTCTAGCATTTTGTTTCTCCCAAAAAATATTCATTAAGATAACAATTGTCTCCCTACTCTTTAGATCTACCACACACCATAATATACTTTTGCCATGTTAAATAACAGAATTTAAAAGCTTTGTAAAGAAAGTGGAGTACATACTAATGTGCCTTTGTCAACTGGTGCTTTTTTACAAGCCATCTAAAAAAGTTGTTGCAAAGTTGTTTGACATAAACTAATGAG